CACCCCCCTGCGGTTCCCCTCTGAGCCCTCCTCAGCAGCCAGGGTCCCTAGGCTGGGACAGCCCGTGCCCGGCTCAGCCCAGGCAGCCACCACGAGGTGACGTTTCCCTCGGGCTCCTTCCATCTGGGGTGGGGCTTTTTTTTGAGCAAATCCCAAAAGCTGTCCCAGAGCAGTGCCAGCACCTGCTGTACCCCTGGCAGTGACAGGTCCCCACATCCCTGCCCTGGCAGATGCTGTGTGACGTGGACCAGGTGACGGCGATGCGGTTCATCCTGCGGCAGCCCTCCCCAGTCTGGCTCCACTTTACCATCGAGGAGCTGCAAGTTTTTCCCCCTGGACAGAAGGTGAGAGGCTGACAGTGCTGTCCTCCGTGCCAGGCATGGGGGTCCACTGTCCCCAGCCCTCTGCCTGGCATTGCTTCCCCACAGCTCTGGAGGCTTCAGAGGGCAGAGGGGTGTGGCTCTGAGACCTTGTCCTTTGCTGGGACACTTGGGGGCTGGGGGAGAGACTGCTCCAGCCACCCCTAGCATAGTCTGTTTTGGAGGTGGATGTGTCTGAGCAGTGGGACAGAGCTGGAGGTTGCAAATTACAAGTTACAAGCACCCATCCTAAACACAGAAATCCCTTTAATGGTGGTAAAGCTGTGCTTGTATCCATAGCAATATAAATAAGGGTGGGCTCCAACCCTCAGCATGCTTCATGCCATCAGGGATGGAGGTGGGACTGGGGACATCCTTTGTCTGACTCTGGATCTATTTCAGAGCCCCAAGAAGGATTTTCCCTCCTGGCTCTCCCAGCTGACCCCTCCGGAGCTGCCAGCCAGCCTGCATGGGGTGAGTGGTCCCGCATGAGGGGTACAGTGACAGAGGGACCCGTGTGGGGTGCTGGCCACAGGCATGAACATCCTTTGGGAGGCTGCCAGCCCTTCCTTCCCTGTTCCATCAGCTTCAGGCCCAGACCAATAATAGCTGTGGAGGCCCAAAATGCCCCACCTTGTGCTGCAAGTAGTTGCAGCATCCAGAAGAAAAACGATCTCCACGGGGATGTGCCATCAGAGATGACACCAAAGTCTACCTGCCCTCTGGGGACAGGAATGTCCCCGTGGGACCAGTGGGTGTGCAGCATCACTCAGCCAGCAGGTGGGACGTGTGGGGACAGGGTGTCCTGGCTGGTCCCTGACGCTTTGTCTAGGATGTGCCCTCAGAAGCAAGTTCCCCAGCTGGAGCAGAGGGAGGTCACAGCCATGGCACGTGTTTACAGCTTCCCAGCCACATCTGCCCAGCCAGCAGCCTTCAGTGAGCAAAGTCCGGGCAAAGCAGAGCAGGCAGCTGGCTGGCCCACAGAAACCTGCTTAATCAGCCACTGGCATCACCTGTAGGAGCAGGGATGGGCCAGGAGTGGTGCCAGAGGCCCAAGCTCCACACCAGGCTTCAGTGCCATGGAGTTCACACCACCATGGCCACAGGGATTCTGCCAGCCCTGGCAAGTCTGGGAGCTCCAGCCTCTGCTTGAGCTCTCTGGAAGACAGAGGAGAACACCCGGCTCCCATGTTGGCTTTTTGGATCACGTTCTGCTTGGCAAGGTGTGGTCCTGGGGAGGTGCTGGAAGTTGCTCTGTGCTTGGCCATTGCCAGCATCACCAGGAGGCACCCACAGGCGGGGGAGATGTGGCACAGAGCTTCTTCACCCTGGCCTGGAGAGCTTCTGCTAAGCCTGTGCATCCTGCCTGGCTTAAAGTACCAGGGGAACCAGTGTCTGTGGCTGAGTCTCTGTCACTGGGCCCAGGGAACACCCTAGAGGGAGGCTGTTAGGAAACTCTGGACTATGTGATCAGGTTTTTAATCATTAGCCTGCAATCTGCTTTCTGTCCTTGCCCTGGGCACCTGCCAGCAGGGACAGGCTGTGCCGGCACTGCAGCCCCAGCACTCAGGGTCACCCATTTCCCCAGCTGCCTGTTTTCCTGGAGTGGGTCCCTGCTCCCCCCGTGTTGAGAAACCACTGGCAGGTTGGGAGCATGGGCACCATCAGGATAATGCCTGGCTGCCCAGGGAGCACAGCTACCCAGCCACACTGCTGCCTGAGCCCGGGGTGACCCAGCCTATCCCAGTCGTCCCTGCTTTCCACAGCATTGTGCCTGCTTCTTTCCAGGAGCTCCCCGACCCAGAGAAGGTGTCGACGGAGGTGCAGCAAATGTGGGTGCTGACAGAGGTGATCCGGGCTCGCCAGGCAGCTGCCCGCATTGGGCGCTTCGACGTGAGTCCCACCGCCCTGACACTGCCAAGGGAGCCCTCCTGGAGCGGCTATTCCCAGTGGGATGGGGAGAGGGCTTGGGGCAGGGGGCAGCAGGTTGTGGTTCCATGTAGGGACTGATGGTGTCTCTCTTTTCCAGGTGGACGGCTGCTACGATGTCAACCTGCTTTCCTACACGTGAGCCCCACGGCGCTGGCCAGAGGGAACCTGCTCCTCTGTGCTCCCGGGACCCAAGTGGACTCCTGTGCTCCCACACTGGCCTTTATCCCTGCGGCCTCAGGAGGGGCTCCAGACCCTTCCCACGATCTTTTCCTGGCTCCTCCTGTGCTGGGTGGCAGCGGTGGGCAGTGCTGCCTCCCCAGAGCCCCCCGTGAAGCTCTGCCACCCCGGTGCCATCCAGCTGTCGGGGCTGTGCTCTGGCCATGTCCCGTGTTGCCACGGGCAGAGCTCGACTCTCCCCACATCTCTACCCTGGGGAGCAGACCTGGCCCCGC